CAAGACCGACCCTCCTGTGTATAAGAGGTACACCACAGTCGTTAAGCCTGTCGCCACTTCTGCTGCAGAAACGAAACAGATGACGGCTGATGGATCCAGGTCATAGGCCTTCAGACCACGCTTGCAATGAAGACATCCGAGAAAAGATCAGCGTCCACCTTGTTGCTAACCCCCTTGTTGCCTCTCCGTTGGTACGGTCATGTCCTACGTGATCCCCTGACGCAAGGTCCAGGTTGGCAGACCATATAATCTTTGCCGGTACACGCCCCAAACGGCCAACCCAGAAAGCGGCGGCTAGGCAATTTGAAGTACGATGTGAATGCTGCTGACCTGCATGCTGTATGGAACTGGGATCGCTGAAAACACTGGCGGATAAAGCATACCAGGCAAAAGTTGGACAATGGACAATAAGAAGAAGAAGAAGAGCAAAATTCATGGAAATAGAAACACCACAGTTTATACCATTAAAATTCCCGTGGAAAATGCAGTGCATGCACATGTATGGCAAGTCGCAAAACTCTCCATAATTTTTTGAGATCTGGATCTCCAGTACAAGTTAGGCATGAAGCGAGGTCAGCCACAACTTGGGGATGGAGAAATTTTCGCAAGTTTTCAACATCGAACGATCACAACTTTCTTCAAAATTATTTTTTCCATCCAACCAGGAAGGTCTTTCAGGGGGTGCCAAGCTTTTTCAAAACGGTCTTTTGCATGATATAGGGGCATGCGGGAACCACAGAACCATGGTTAATTTTTCCTGAACGGCCCTCTGAATACCAGAAAAGGGGTCCCTAGTTCGATTCCTCGTGGTGACAAATTTTTGCATTTCGAGTTGACGTGGTTACTTCGTCCTAAATATGAATATGCATTCATGTTCATGCTAACTCCATTTTGCGCGAATTTTGAAACGTCAACTCGAAATGCAAAAATTTGTCACCACGAGGAATCGAACTAGGGACCCCCTTTTCTGGTATTCAGAGGGCCGTTCAGGAAAAATGAACCATGGTTCTGTGGTTCCCGCATGTGCCCCTATATCATGCAAAAGACCGTTTTGAAAAAGCTTGGCACGCCCTGAAAGACCTTCCTGGCAAGAAGCAGCATAGCAAAATATAAGATTTACGCGCCCCGTTTTCACTTTCTTCTTGTCGTTTCTAAATTTTTTCAAACGTGCGAGTTTTTCAACTTTTAGTGAAAGTAGTTTTCTTCTGTGCAAATTTTTGTGTTTTAGAAAACCATGAGAACCGGACACCCAAGCAGAACCCCAACATAAACTGAAGTGGTCCTAGAAATCTTCTCTTCAAAAATGTTTCTTTTGTCACTTGAAAGTCTATGGTCTGCAGGAACATTGCTGATTAATGGGTATATTTCCACGGTTTACATCGCTGCTCATTGTATTACATTTTCACCACTCATGACCCCCTCCCCTCACACCACCCTCCCGATCAACTCCGTAGGTAATACGCCTCCCTGTTTGTACTTGTACAAACGGATAATTTAGCCTGATTTAAAGAAATGAGGGAATTTCCTATTTTACATTTTACCCCTGATCGATGTACTACGACCAAGCTATTGATGGAACTAGCATCCCACGCTCAGTCAAAATTGGCTCCCATCCAGCAATCGGCATTTTGGTGCGTCTGGCATTTATTCTCGCAGTTTTTCTCCCTTTTGCTTGTACTACTTACGAGAGCCAGGCTCAAACTTCAAAATCTCTAAGATATTACAAGGAGTACGATCTGCCATGCAGAAGACAAAGAGGGTTGTCATCGTTCAATACTGTGTTGGAATGCGCCATGCATCCGTACTCTACTTGGAATCGCAGCTGTATTTGAATCACACGAATTATAGTGACCAGCTGGGATCGCTGATGTGACAAAGAAGCTAATGCTTTTATTCCTGGAGATGAGTTCAATACAAGTTGAGAACCTTGCGAAGGAGTTTTCGTTTCTTCAGAAGAGAGCACGAGAGTTGGACTTGTAGATCATGCGCATGATAGAGGCCTCACCTATGAACGGCGCAGCTTCATCCCCTCCGACAGGAGTGGGTCATGAAGAACATTTGAGTTTTCCCTGAGAAACTGGTTAATAATTGGTTAGTCGGACGTACTCGTTGTTTTGGGGTTATGTTAGACTACGTTGTAGTGACAACGAGGTCGTAGTCTTATCACTTTACACCAAACACCACGCATTGATTAGCAGCGATTGTTGTGATGACCACGTTCCATATTTGGACATTTTTTACCTTTATTTTTCTTCTTCTATTCAATTCGCGACGTCTACGTAGTGCCAAACTAATGCGTTTCGAATCACATTGTTAAAGGCAAAGTCTTTGAAGGGTTGCGCCGTGTCTTCTCGCAAATATACTTTCTTGATAGAAATTGTGTGCGTTGATCGAAAAAACGAAGAGTTCAGACAGGCGAAGCTCAGCGGGGTTATCCATTTGAGGATGGGAGGGAGGGATTAGAGTACGTGGTGCAATATTTCCCAATTTTCGCGGTAGGATTAAGTTCTTGGGTGGGTATGAAGCGTGAAGCGAAAACAAGATGATTCATCCACGCCGGGGATTTCCTCCTGTACAAAAATTTGAGCTACTCCAGGCGGCAGAACTATTGCACCACAAGATCCCCTTATTGGTTTAGACCCCTTTAGATTTGATTCTGAATGAATAATTCCTGAAAAAGTTGGAATCTAACCCTTCAATTTTTGACTGTTCCACTGTCATGAATTTTGTTGTATATCTTTTGTTCCTACCATTGCACCATTCTTATTTTCTAGCAGTTTTTGCTTTGATTTCTCACTCGTTTCCTTTCTTGCTTGGCACGGTCATAATTTTTCTTCCTATGTACTGTTCTGGGGTTCGCAGCTGAGTGAGTGGTGTTCAGCACAGGGTCCAGCAGGATGGTGATGAAAAGAAACAAACGGGGCGGGGTAAAACTTTAGTGGAATTTTCCTCAGTTTCTCGTTTTTTCGAAAAGTTCCATCTTCGCCATCTGGCCGTATACGAACAGGCTGACCATTCCAAAACGACTTCCTCCCGAGCCAATGCAAGTGGGCTGTCACGCCAGGGAATCCTTAACCGACGCTTTGCCTTGGTTCAAAAACCGCGAGGAATAAGAAAAGCTGAAGTTCACCAAGCTTTCTAACTGCTCCCACCACGTCATTTCAGCTTTTTGACTTTCCCTTCACTCGAATTTTCATGAGGAAATTGCAATAATAATTAGAATCCTGATCCAACGCCCTATCATACACATATATCTTAGCGTGGATCATTCAACAAGCGAAGCCAATTGGGGAATTATGTGGCAGAATTACACGACTGTTGAGAATAGTCGCTGAATGAGGCTCTAGTCATTCATCTAGGTCTTCAATCGTGAATTGGAGGCAATTGCATGGCGCGTAGAGCCAAGAGTCCATCAGTCCACACTCATTAAACATTTCACTGTGCCTACTTGCTATATGTAGCAAGTGTATACACCATGTATTCCTCCCATAGCCCAAACTGTCACAGAGAGCTTAAAGGCAAAGTTCGGGCTCAGACCCACCTAATAAGCCCTTAAAGTGGCTAGAAGCGCATGGGACGCAACTGCAGGCGACTCGCCAAGTTCCCGCATCGAAATGCGTCACTAAGGCGCTAGGGGCCAAGGACTTTGACACGCTCCACCTGTTGCGACACGCTCCGCCCACCGCTCGATATCTTGTCTGCGTCGCAATGCTGATCTGCTATGCTCTCTCTTCTCGGACTTCTCTACCGCTCTCCGCGCTCACATTATCTCTCATCTCCCTGCCGGCCTTTTGAACTTCTCCGCAACGTAGAGCAAAAGGCTCGTATTTCCTGTGTATTTCACGATTTTTTTCCTTTTTTCTCCACTGGCGGTCCACCTCCCGCCCCTACAACATATTACCTAATCAGTTTAAGCTTGAATCTTGCCTTTAAATGTCACAGAAGTTCATATTGCTTATTCCTTCTATTCCATTTGTGAACATTCGGAATGACTGAAAAAATTCACTTGAGGTCAATGGCTTCACCTTTGGATGAATACCGTAATCGGGCCACAATCAAATGGCAAGAATTGAGAGATGTAGTTGAAGGCGAAGATAACGTGAAGATCAAGGTAAAGGAACGTTTCCGGATTTTCATACCACATGAATCATGCACACTTTGGCGCTATCGCAAGATACGGGGGCATAGTGGTGGTAGCGCATTTGAAACCGCGTAAAACATCTCCTTTTTGTTGAAACGGGACTAAGCCTTGGAGGAGGAGGAGAGACTTCAGGGTGCGTGAGCCATTTTCATTTTCCAGGAAGTTCCTGCTCCCTTTAGGCTTAGTCATAGAGGATGCCCCGTATCTTGCGATAGCGCTCACACATTGGTATACTTTTTCATATTTCTTTATTATGTCCATTTTGTTGTTGTTTTTAACAACCATAGTTTATATTTTTATTTTTTGTCTTTATTACTTTGTTTATCTGCATTGCATTTACAATTGTAGGATCAAATATACGAAAAACTTCGGAAGGATCCTCTTTTTGCCCGTAACTTCGATCGGCCTTCACTCAAACAACTCCGGGAGTTGAACCATCGGCGTTGGAAACGAATCGTCGAGCTAGGACTGCCGCTTGATGTGGGTATTAGAGCATAGTTTATTCTCTTGAGCTTTAAATTAAGTATATTTGTTGAATTAATCATGTACAACTGTTGCGTGAAATATTTTCAGCAGTACAGCGACCCCCAGGGTTACCAATGCCTTATGGAAGTGCTCGAGACCTACGATCAGGGTTTGTCAGCCCGAATAGCCCTGCATTCATCGGTCTGGTTTTGAGATTTAACCAGAATCCACTAAAAAGAATTCCTTAGCCTTTATAGGTGTTCGGCATGGCGGTAGCGTCGATGGGCACCAAGCGTCATGATGAGATCGTGCAGAAAACCAGAAGGAACGAGGTCTACTTTTCATTGAACATTTGTAACACGGAAGGTTAGGTACGCAGAAGCACACCTACACCAGACAGGCTTGCATCGTTGTCTGCGCTCTAGCTCTCTACCAGCTTTTGCTAGATGTCCTGCAAATTTTCAGATAGTTGGCTGTTTCTGTCTGACCGAACTCGGTCATGGATCCAACACACAGGAGATCCAGACCACCGCTACCTTTGACAACGGCGAATTTGTCTTCAACTGCCCATCCGATCAGGCTGTGAAGTGCTGGGCTGGCAACTTATGTGAGGGTTTATACTTCACTGAAATCCCCTTGAAAATTTCGAGAGGATTTGAGGAGTCTTGAAACAACAGTTGTCTTTTCAGCACATTCCGCCACCCACGCAGTCGTTTTCGCTCAACTATACGTCCAGGGTAAATGTGAAGGAGTGCATGCGTTTGTACTGCAAGTCAGGTAACTTGTTGTTTCCGTAGAGAATTGAACTCATCCATAATTATAGGAGGGCGGCAAACAGTTCCGGGGTTCATTACAGTAAGGGGAGGGTCATATAGCCCAATATTTTGGTTACAGTAGTCCTGCCTTCTGTAAAGGGGAGCTTTCTAAAGGCGGATGAAAAAGCGGGGACGGAATCTCATCACTCACAGTGGATGTTCCCTTCCCCTGCAAAAATGGATTTACTGTAGGCTGCACGACCTCTCCCGTCCTATGCTTCCCTCTTTACTGCGTCGAGTGGCATACACGGCGCCATCTTATCCCAGGTATGGCTAGGTATACACAGGCCGACGGCTGTCTTCTCCGCTCACTGAATTGACCATCCACTAAGCATAAACTGAAAGACAAACTGGCATACCCTTTGCCGCCTACTTGTCATGAGAGATAGCCAAGTAGAAAACACGCAAGAAATGAATCAGGTTTCCTGGAAACTTGAAAGTTGCGATTTGTTTCGAGGAAAACGGTAACCCGTTTACTGGTGAAGTCGTATTATTCCCAATTCTCCGTAAAACATGACTGCAATGAGCACTCATGTTCCTTAGAGGGTCAAAACGGAGCCAATGGTAAGTGACCCAGGACTGAACCCAGGAGAGGGAAGGAACGCCACGGAAAAACAGAAAATGTTCACACCCACCTACAAAAGTCCTTCTCTTTCCTGAGCTTAGTCCCAAGTACAGTGATGGCTTGCTCACTTGAATGCCCTCCACTCCCCAACCCCTCCCCCCACCCCTTTCAACGACATGACCTTATCTTGTTTATTTGAACACTTCGTTTCCTGAGGCTTGGAAAACCACAGTTGCGCACCGCCTGGCAACGGCCTTGAAAAAAGATCGATGTCAACTATGCCTTTTGATACTCTTGATGACATCTGATGCTACATGTTCTTAATTCTGCAAAGACAAATGGAGATCTAATGGCATTATATCTTCTTGAAGAGATCCGACTACGTTCGAGCCACTTCCGGGCATTACGATCGGGGATATGGGCGAAAAACCCGGTGCATGGAACGGGGTCGAGAACGGCTGGATGGAATTCAAGGTATCTTTTCGTCTCACTCTGAAGAAAAAATTTAATTCCAGTGTTTTGCATATTTTTTTGAAAAATCAAAGCCGTCAGAATATTATAGCTTTCGGACTGCTGTCAATTTCAGAAACACCGTGCTCCGCTGTGGACACTCCTGAATAAAGGTTGTGATGTAACAGCTACCGGAAAATATGTGTCCAGCTACAAATCTTCAGCCGAGAGGCAATCCGTCAGTCTAGGAGCATTGTCGATTGGAAGGTATGGTGCGGTTGCGGTTTTTTCATACATGAAACGGTCACTGTCAAAGCCGTCACGCGGCGGCACGCGTCTAATGGGTGTCATTCTGACGCGGATTCGATATGAAGACGGCGTAACCTGACAAGACATCAACTCTAACGCTTTGCTTGATAGGAATTCGTATTAAACGTTTTTCTT